ATTACTTTCACGATCCGTAATTATGCTCCTGCACTTTCCTGCTAATTACCGTCAGCCTCCGTTCTCCGCAGTTTGATTTTTTAATTAGTGATTAGAGATATGCTCGCGTTCGAGTTACGTGGAACTTGGAAAGTGCACGTCTCTCTGGCGAAGATATATTTCCGTGAATATAGATATATGTGCCGTGCTTTGAAGCGATCGCATGTGTTTTCCTCGCAAGTTTCTACTCGGTCCTGATGTACAACACGCGCGCAATGGCTTTCTACACTTTATTCCGCCAGTACCTCACCATCTTTACGACCATCGGATCATTAACCGGTGATAAATTAGCGAAACGTTAAGAGAGCTCGTATGAAGTTGTACGTTCTAATTTCTTTATGTCGATTAATTACCGACCGATCGGTGTTTATGAACACGTGAATTATTTCTTTCGTAATTGTAATAATAAGAAAGAACATAATTAGAAAGAAGTGTAAGCAAAACTTTTTTTTCCTATAAATAGTTCCTTGACGAGTGTCGACTATATGTAAATTATTGGATAGAAAAGAGCGCAAACGCAATGAATGAAAATAAGTGAAATTAAAATTTCTTTATATGTATAGATATTTGTGTGAGTGATATTATATTAATAAGTACATTTTTTTCGTTAAATAAGAATTTTATTTATAATATGCGCAAACAAAAACTGAGAAAAGGCAAAAAATACTATTTGATAACGTTTTTATTAAGCTATTGACGTAAATTGTTGATAGCTTACATAAGCATTTAAACATTCTGATTTGTAACACATAAATTTTCATACTTATTATTTTACAGAATGATAAAATTCTAGCTTTTCTCTCCGCATGGAATCATTATGAAAACGTATTCTTTAATTAAATAACTAAACATTGAATTAAAAATTTTCAGTTTTATAAATATTTCTGTTTTAAAAATAGAAAATAATATAGATTTAGATTTCTGTCACGTATCTATTGCCTCTGTCTTGCAAAATTACATGTCCATTTCCACATATTCTTTAATCGATACGATTACTCGTTTTTAAGAAGATAAACACGCGACTTTAAACGGCTTCGTAGTAGGTCGGATTGCGTTTCCGTTATCGTATCGAAATCTGACTAATCCGCGAGTGTCAATGACTGATCACTATCGGCCCCGGTCTGTGTCACACTACAGAGTCTGTGTATTAATGGAAATCATACACGACACGTGTTCGGTTCTAATTATATCCGTGCGACACACGGTTAATCACGAGAACTCGGCCGTAATTCTAGGCCAAACATGCGCTGGCATCTCTATGCATAGTTCAGAGATACAGGCGGATATGTATATGTATATGTATAAGCGCGATTAAACCAGAAGGATATTGACATCCGTATGTTATGAATATCGTATGAATGTGGAAGTCGGGCGATGAGCATGCACAACGGATCTGAATGATCCGTTCAGGAAATGCAAAACACGGATGCAGCACAATACGGAGGCAATGCGGCAACTAAATTAACACGGAAGTATTTCTCTCGCAAGATGTTGGATGGAATAACGAATACCCTGAATCGCATTCCTCGTGTGTTAAAACGTAGAGATGTGTTGAAGTATTCGATTCAACTTTATATCATCTATATATAGTCTTTTTATAATTCCGTAAAAAAATATTAAAATATTACATCGTGCAAAAATTGTGCATAAAAAATAATATATGTTGTCGTAATATATAAATTATTAAAAGATAATAATTAAAATGATATTATTGAAAGAAATTAATAATTAATAATTTTTTGTGTTCCGCATAGAAACATTGTTGGACGTTATCAATTTTTTATTTCGAAGAGATAATGAATATTGCATTCGATATTATGAAAGTTAATTACAGCTAAATAGTTAAACAATAAAATTACATGCATATTTTTTTAACAAGTGTGTGATTAAATCAATATATGCGCCGTATGTAATTTAATTAATTTATCTTTACATCGCACACATAAATAGCTGAATTAGCCGTAAAATAAAGAAGAAGGCAACATATTATTATTTCCAGATATCTATATACCTGTAAGTCTAAGATTTTCTCATAACAACGAGATAAAAATGGTGATACGCAAAGATTATAATAAAAGACTGCATAACAAAAAGAAATGTCGTGAGTTTTGACCTCTGACTGCAGATTACTTGACTGTTAATAATATTCCTTTGCAGACGCCTGAGAGATGAAATATTGACGAGATTATTATTCAACATACATACAATTTTAATGCAAGACATATGAAACGTGATAAGTGTTTGATATGTTTCGTATTAATATTAAAATATAGCGGACAGTCGGAAACAGAAAAACGTGGAAAATGAAAAAGAAAACTATTCATCCTTTATTACGCATTTAATTTAACTTTAGTACTTCAAACTGGATTAAAATATACGAAATAAATTGCATGGCAAAATAATACAATAAAATGATAAGCACGATGATAAGCTTGTTCAAAGGGAGTACTTTAATTTAATTGTTGCAAACTATGATTCAGTTCAACTTTCGGCTTCTCGAGCGAAAATTTCAAAAAACTTTCCCCCTCTTTTTGTGAAAATTTTACTGTTAGCCTCCGTGAGAATAACGTCAAGTGAATTTTATGAACGTCAGAGGAAACTATGCCATCTTGTCAAGAAAAAAAGAGCAGGAAACGCTCAATGGAGCGACATTCAGTAAAAAATACTTATTGAAGTCCAACGTTCTCAACAACGCTCGAATATCGACCTCCGATGTGCATAACTCTACCGTTGCTTTCATGTAAATTCAACGTTGACCCATCCCACCCCAGGTTTATACCAGTAGTAATCGCATTCGACGTGGAGCGAACAAAGTTTCCACTTGAAAGTTTACAACAAAGTGACAGTCCAAGTTATCCTGCCTGTCGATCCAAAAACGCTTCTCCGCCGAAAACTATTATACTTTTGGAATTCATTAAAGAACAATTGACTATTTTCTCAAATGAGAACTTGACATAAAAACACTGCAAGTTTTGAATACCAAAATTTCAAGAGAAGCAATTTACCTAAATATTGCTCAATCGTCTTACAAAAAATTAACCATGAATTAATTTCAGAAAGTATATTGCAGATAATTCTAAAAATTACTTTTAATACCTAGTGGTAATTGTGAAAAAAAAAGATAATGTTGAGACAATGTTAAGTTTCTTTTAGTCTTTCTTTTTAAATATACAAAATTAACAGTACAGAATAATTTCACATTTTAATATATACTTATATGTTAGAATAAAGATACGTTTGAAAAAATGTATCATTCTAATACCAATGATTTAAGAGAACTAAGTATAGATGATGATTGGCTATTTGAATTTGCGTATTTGTGTATGTATTATCGTTGTCTTTGTATTATATTGTTTGTCTTTAAAAACGTTATCGTTACACGGTTACTCTCGATGACCGAACCTTTACATCTTGACCTTTTTCAATTATACATTCGATCTCAGCTTACGTAATGTACAGAAATAAAAATATGCCGCCGTTGGATTCTCCTTGTATATATAATAATTGCTCTATAATTAAACATCGTTGCTAATGCATATTTACGAGATCGAGTCGATAATGAGAACTCAAGTTCATATTAAATAGAAAAAACGGGCAATTAAGAGCTTCAATACGCAGTAGTTAATGCGATTACATTATCAACAACATATGTTTCAAATAAAAATCTTATTTTAGATACCGTACCTGTCAGAACACAATCGATAAACTAGAAGCTTATATCAGTCGAAGCTGGATCTTTAATACTTAAATAATTCAATCTTGAATTACTATATATATATATATATATATATATATATCCTATTGTAGTCTTTCAAACTGCGCGCCGAATTATTTTTTCGGACTATAAACGTAATTAAATCACTCTAGTATAATCGCGAATTAAATTGACAAGCAATTTTAATAATTTGATGTTGCAATCAAACATCATATTATAATATTAATATATTGAAAAAATAAAAAAAAAACAAGTTAAAAGAGAAGGACTACAGACCAGAAATATAACGTATAGAAAAATGATCAATCAATGAAAAAATCGATATATGTTATGTTTTTACCGTTCTGACAAATTTTGTAAACATTGATAATGATCCGATCGTGATCGAAACGTTTGTTAACCGACATATTTTATTAAAGTCATAATAAGACATCTTTACTTATGTACCAATTTTTCTATACGTTATATTTCTGACTCGTAGCCCTTCTATTTTAACTCGTTTATTATTACGAAAAATATTATCTCGGCTGGAAGTCGAATCCGGATCTCTCTGTATTCCATACGAGCGTCCTAAGTTTTTAGGCCACCGAGGCATTTAAGCATTAAAGATCCAGCTTCGATCGGTATAGACTTCTAGTTTATCGAATATGTCTCAAATCTTATATAAATATAATAACCGATATATATTTCGGCTCAATTCAAGCCATCTTCAACAGTTTTGAATAATTAAAGATTCTTGATAAACCATCAGTCGTATGAAAAAAATAATAGAGTAGCATGGAAAGTCTCTCAGATTAAACAAGTTCATACTTTTACACAAAGACACGAAAGTGACGTGCATTCACTACAAAATTATAATATAATATCATGTTTTATTTCTCGTCATGAGACAGTCCGTATTGTCTCACGAAATCATTCGTGCAGTTTGACGATTCTAATATCGTAATTTAAACTTTACGATTTAATATTCGCTGATTTATATTTTATAGAAATCAAAATAATAGAATTTATTACTCTGTCATTATTATCACTTATAAAAATATTTTTTGAGAAATGTATCTTTTACGATTGGACAAGTATCTTTTATCGAAAATGATGATTACGGAATGCTCGTACTTTTCCATGAGAAATCAAATTCATAAAACCACAAATGCAATTAGAAATATCACGACAAACACAGCAACGTGTATCGATGCAGTATAAATTATGGACGTGATAATAACGGAACTTTCCGTTGACATCTCAGGGCTAAAGAAGACGGAGGAAGAGGAAGATAGCACATGGGACAAGTCCATGACTGTTCTGGGAGAATTGATTGGAACCTCAATTCTGGTCTTTCTGGGGTGCATGGCATGCATGGGTAGTATGAAGCCGTATATTCCTGGAATTGGACCGTCTATGATACAAGTTTCTTTTGCTTTTGGTCTCGCTGTTATGATTGCTATACAGGTATACATTACTTTGAATCTGACAATTAACATTATCCTTGATAAAAATCATTAATACATCGTTTTGTGACATCATTACGTTAATCAATTTTTCAATAATATATTTTATTTACATTATAAGAAGAACGACCGTGTATGAATAAATCGAATAAAGTAAAGACCGCCAAACGGTCAAAGTTAGATGTTACGAATATATTTTATCAATTTTTTGTTCCAAATGTGATTGCGCGCCGATAATTGTCGGACTTTCAACACAATCATTATGAAACATTTTAATAACCCCTTCTAAATAAATATTTTATTTAGAGGGGGTTATTAAAATGATTCATAATGATTGAATATCTAACTTTGACTGTTCGGCGTTCTTTATTTTATTCGATATTTTACTTAGTTTTAGATTAAATTTCTTTTAACCATAACTTATAGCATTTTTCACTATTTATTTCACATTTTAATGATGCATTAATGATTAATATATATTAATGAATATAGAGGAGAGTTGCTGAATGCGTACTGATTGCCTAAATCTCTCTCTCTCTCTCTCTCTCTCTCTCTCTCTCTCTCTCTTTCACTCAGTATTTTATATTATTACTTAATATAGGCAACATTTAGTAACAATAATATAAAGTACATGAGAAATGAATAATAGAAACAAAAATAGCCTACATCTTGTTTTATGGACATTAGCAGCGTTTTAAAAAATCAAGTACATCTGATATTAATTTTTAATCAACTTATGTAGCTGATAACAACGCGATCATCCAATGTTATTATAAATTTTTGTATTTTTATAAAAGAAAATTTATTGTAGAATATTTTACATTCACTGTATATATAATACATATTTACAGCATTATAAAGATTAAATCGATATTTTTTAAAATCCATCAAGTTTCTTAAATCTTACCATCACAAGATAAGATTGATTATTAACAACAATAAAACTAATAATTGATATCAACAAATGTCAAGTGCAAAAATATTTTTGAGCCAATTTTATTTTGATCAGAAACCAAAAATAACAGTTATCGTAAAAATTTGATTTAAAAAAATCATTGATTAAAATGTTGGTATTTATTAACAGGAAAGACAATCATTATCAAATATTAAAAAAATTCAAAAAATGTAATTACTATAAAATATCAATTTTTATGTATTTTGGCTTAAGAGGAATATAATTGTTATGCTACAACTTTTTTTTTATTTTGGTTATAACAGTTACGGTCTCTGATTTTGTCTTCTCTTTATTGTTATTTAATAATAATTATAAAATATTTGATATTTTTCAATAAATTATTAAAATTAGGTACTAATTAATTATTAGGTATTAGTTAATGATTTTTTTTATTAATCATATACTTTCAATTATTTTCATTCATAAATTCAATACTTTGAAAGGAAATACGATAAAAAATATCTATAGGTACGATTTAAGAGACCGATTGCTTATCTAAATCATATCTTTTGCAGCATGTTACAAAAAGATTTATAATAAATTAATTTGTTATTGATGAAAAGTTAAACACGTAATAATAAGCGTCCGAAACCTCGAACTACAATTTCTAATGTTCATTTGCATACAAACAGTGCCAAATGGAACATATAAGTGAAATGGTAAGCATTGGGCAACTCTCTCTCCTAAATATATATTATATTATATATTATAACACACACATATATATATATATATATATATATATATATTACAATTTACCATATATTAATTAATATATATTAGTTTATAAATAAAATCGAACATATAAAAGCGAGTATTTCTAAGTAGCAAATTATTGATATATTTACACATAATATTATCGGATCTTATCGTCGAATATATATTTGTTCTTTTCCAGTGCGTCGGTCACATCAGCGGCGCTCATCTCAATCCGTCTATTACAATCGCCGCACTAATTCTTGGCAAGAAGTCTCTCATAATGGCCGGATTTTACATTATTGCACAATGTTTGGGTGCCCTGTTAGGTTACGGCTTCCTAAAGGTCAATAAATACGCACATATTCATTTATTTACAGATTACAAAACTGTGACTTTTGTAATCACGTTTCGGCGGAGATACTTGAACAATCATATTTCGGTGATAATAAATTGCTGATACATGTTCGTGTTTATACATATAACGCGTTATCTCAAAAGTTCTCACAAAATTACGTTATCTCAAAGCTGCGAACATTACGATTATTTTTACTCATTCAAACATCCGCTTGCTCCTAAAGATAAAATATTGATCGCGTTCAAGTTGCTGCGTGTCGAGTGATTGAATGTATATTGATCGGATTTAAAAATAAAAATCAATTATATTCAATTACTAGACAGGTTAGGCTACTTTGTCGACTTAAACACATTTATTATTTCTACACGGAAAGAACAGTTTTGCTAAGATAAAAATTTAATTAAATACAGATCTGAAAATAATTTCACTAGACTGTCAAAATAATTGTAGGATGCTCAATTTGGTTACTGTCGACGTTTTGCAGCATTACTCATCATGCTTAAATTCCATACATACCTACATAATAATTTTCATGGTTCAATAAAAGTATTTAGATAAATTTTTAGAGAGAGAGAGGTACTTTAAAATAGTTATTTCCGTATATTCGCTAATTGCAGCATCTAATCATTTAAAATGCTATTTCATTGATTGTATAAATAAAATTTTAATAGCTAATTCGAATTATTTGTTGTACAAACAACAATGAATAGTGTAGCAAATCTGTGCAAAGTATCGATTGATTTTAAGTTTCAACTTACTTATTTGATTCAAATTGAATTAACTTTTGTTTCAATATTAATTAACAGATGATAACGCCATCAGATCTTGTGCATGGCGGTGATCCAACGACAACCGACAAGTTTTGTGCGACGGACATTAATGAGGCTATTGGGATCGGACATGGAATCGCGGCTGAGGCTTTTGCTACTGGCGTACTTGTTTTTTTCGCATGCAGTAGTTGGGACTCGCGAAACGCGAAGAATACCGACTCGTTGGGATTGAAATTTGGCCTCTGCGTTGCCATGCTGTGTCTTGCTTTCACCCCTCATACCGGCTGCAGCATGAATCCTGCTAGATCGTTCGGACCAGCAGTCTGGACTGGTTACTGGCACTACCACTGGTTATACTGGTTGGGACCGATTGGAGGCTCCATTATTGCGACTTTAATCTATCGATATTTATTTTTTAAAAATCAGGAAAATACGCAAGATGTGGAAACTTTGAATGACATCGAGACTTAAATGGAATAATGCGTAAGTTTTTAAACGCCAATAAAAATATAATTTTGTACAGATTACACAGGCCAACAAAATTTAGGGGGGGGAGGAGGTCTTGCGCTTTGAAAGATGTTTCCGTAGGATTTTGATGCGCTGAAAATGACTATGTTGTCCGTTTTTTCCATTATCCTCCATTTTTTTTAGATAATCGTAAAAATAGTTTTTTCGGGAAGTACCTTCTTTATTAATTTTTTCCAGCTAAACAAAAAATGATATTAAGGTCTGTTTTGCGGCATTTAACTTTGAAATGTTCCAGCAATACTAAAAATATTTTTTCAATGCTTATAAAAATGTTTTGTGCAAATCAGAAAACTTTGGAAAAATTGTAAAAAACCGGAAAAAATAGACAAATTTTGAAATATAAAACCAAATAATTCGAAAGAAAAAAATCGTAAAAAATATCTGATAATTTATACTTATAATTTATACTGTATGTTTCTAGTTTAAATCCTTTTTTGAAAAATTAATTTCCAACCATTTGTTTAGAAGTTATTGAATTTAATACACCTTGCGCGTTACCTACAGTGCGCGATATCCTCTCGAATCTGGCACATATTCACCGAATACAGAAGCATGTTGTATAGTTTTTTTTGTCAATATAAAGACTAGAATGTAAGCGGAAATAGAAGTCAGCGCGGTACTCGGCGCAAGTATAATAATAGAAATGTTTATGTCCATTTTTAATATAAAAGTATAAAGATAAATATAAAGTTGATATAAAATCCATACGCGTTTCGACTTCAAGTCATTCTCAACAGTATTAATATAATTCTAATTCAGCACAAGTAGCATCAACCATGATGTCAACCACCCAACATCACAAAGAGTTCCTTAGTTCATCCCAGTTTACAGACTAGAAGGAAACAAGAATTCTTATAAAGTGAAGCTATAATAAGAATGAGAATGTTACAGATATATGTGAAATTATTTTTAAAAGATACTGACAAGGAGAAAGCAGACTGACCGAATTGATGCAATTTGTACGTACATATACAGTAGTCAACCGAAATCATTCGTGCAGTTTGACGATTCTAATATCGTAATTTAAACTTTACGATTTAATATTCGCTGATTTATATTTTATAGAAATCAAAATAATAGAATTTATTACTCTGTCATTATTATCACTTATAAAAATATTTTTTGAGAAATGTATCTTTTACGATTGGACAAGTATCTTTTATCGAAAATGATGATTACGGAATGCTCGTACTTTTCCATGAGAAATCAAATTCATAAAACCACAAATGCAATTAGAAATATCACGACAAACACAGCAACGTGTATCGATGCAGTATAAATTATGGACGTGATAATAACGGAACTTTCCGTTGACATCTCAGGGCTAAAGAAGACGGAGGAAGAGGAAGATAGCACATGGGACAAGTCCATGACTGTTCTGGGAGAATTGATTGGAACCTCAATTCTGGTCTTTCTGGGGTGCATGGCATGCATGGGTAGTATGAAGCCGTATATTCCTGGAATTGGACCGTCTATGATACAAGTTTCTTTTGCTTTTGGTCTCGCTGTTATGATTGCTATACAGGTATACATTACTTTGAATCTGACAATTAACATTATCCTTGATAAAAATCATTAATACATCGTTTTGTGACATCATTACGTTAATCAATTTTTCAATAATATATTTTATTTACATTATAAGAAGAACGACCGTGTATGAATAAATCGAATAAAGTAAAGACCGCCAAACGGTCAAAGTTAGATGTTACGAATATATTTTATCAATTTTTTGTTCCAAATGTGATTGCGCGCCGATAATTGTCGGACTTTCAACACAATCATTATGAAACATTTTAATAACCCCTTCTAAATAAATATTTTATTTAGAGGGGGTTATTAAAATGATTCATAATGATTGAATATCTAACTTTGACTGTTCGGCGTTCTTTATTTTATTCGATATTTTACTTAGTTTTAGATTAAATTTCTTTTAACCATAACTTATAGCATTTTTCACTATTTATTTCACATTTTAATGATGCATTAATGATTAATATATATTAATGAATATAGAGGAGAGTTGCTGAATGCGTACTGATTGCCTAAATCTCTCTCTCTCTCTCTCTCTCTCTCTCTCTCTCTCTCTCTTTCACTCAGTATTTTATATTATTACTTAATATAGGCAACATTTAGTAACAATAATATAAAGTACATGAGAAATGAATAATAGAAACAAAAATAGCCTACATCTTGTTTTATGGACATTAGCAGCGTTTTAAAAAATCAAGTACATCTGATATTAATTTTTAATCAACTTATGTAGCTGATAACAACGCGATCATCCAATGTTATTATAAATTTTTGTATTTTTATAAAAGAAAATTTATTGTAGAATATTTTACATTCACTGTATATATAATACATATTTACAGCATTATAAAGATTAAATCGATATTTTTTAAAATCCATCAAGTTTCTTAAATCTTACCATCACAAGATAAGATTGATTATTAACAACAATAAAACTAATAATTGATATCAACAAATGTCAAGTGCAAAAATATTTTTGAGCCAATTTTATTTTGATCAGAAACCAAAAATAACAGTTATCGTAAAAATTTGATTTAAAAAAATCATTGATTAAAATGTTGGTATTTATTAACAGGAAAGACAATCATTATCAAATATTAAAAAAATTCAAAAAATGTAATTACTATAAAATATCAATTTTTATGTATTTTGGCTTAAGAGGAATATAATTGTTATGCTACAACTTTTTTTTTATTTTGGTTATAACAGTTACGGTCTCTGATTTTGTCTTCTCTTTATTGTTATTTAATAATAATTATAAAATATTTGATATTTTTCAATAAATTATTAAAATTAGGTACTAATTAATTATTAGGTATTAGTTAATGATTTTTTTTATTAATCATATACTTTCAATTATTTTCATTCATAAATTCAATACTTTGAAAGGAAATACGATAAAAAATATCTATAGGTACGATTTAAGAGACCGATTGCTTATCTAAATCATATCTTTTGCAGCATGTTACAAAAAGATTTATAATAAATTAATTTGTTATTGATGAAAAGTTAAACACGTAATAATAAGCGTCCGAAACCTCGAACTACAATTTCTAATGTTCATTTGCATACAAACAGTGCCAAATGGAACATATAAGTGAAATGGTAAGCATTGGGCAACTCTCTCTCCTAAATATATATTATATTATATATTATAACACACACATATATATATATATATATATATATATATATATATATTACAATTTACCATATATTAATTAATATATATTAGTTTATAAATAAAATCGAACATATAAAAGCGAGTATTTCTAAGTAGCAAATTATTGATATATTTACACATAATATTATCGGATCTTATCGTCGAATATATATTTGTTCTTTTCCAGTGCGTCGGTCACATCAGCGGCGCTCATCTCAATCCGTCTATTACAATCGCCGCACTAATTCTTGGCAAGAAGTCTCTCATAATGGCCGGATTTTACATTATTGCACAATGTTTGGGTGCCCTGTTAGGTTACGGCTTCCTAAAGGTCAATAAATACGCACATATTCATTTATTTACAGATTACAAAACTGTGACTTTTGTAATCACGTTTCGGCGGAGATACTTGAACAATCATATTTCGGTGATAATAAATTGCTGATACATGTTCGTGTTTATACATATAACGCGTTATCTCAAAAGTTCTCACAAAATTACGTTATCTCAAAGCTGCGAACATTACGATTATTTTTACTCATTCAAACATCCGCTTGCTCCTAAAGATAAAATATTGATCGCGTTCAAGTTGCTGCGTGTCGAGTGATTGAATGTATATTGATCGGATTTAAAAATAAAAATCAATTATATTCAATTACTAGACAGGTTAGGCTACTTTGTCGACTTAAACACATTTATTATTTCTACACGGAAAGAACAGTTTTGCTAAGATAAAAATTTAATTAAATACAGATCTGAAAATAATTTCACTAGACTGTCAAAATAATTGTAGGATGCTCAATTTGGTTACTGTCGACGTTTTGCAGCATTACTCATCATGCTTAAATTCCATACATACCTACATAATAATTTTCATGGTTCAATAAAAGTATTTAGATAAATTTTTAGAGAGAGAGAGGTACTTTAAAATAGTTATTTCCGTATATTCGCTAATTGCAGCATCTAATCATTTAAAATGCTATTTCATTGATTGTATAAATAAAATTTTAATAGCTAATTCGAATTATTTGTTGTACAAACAACAATGAATAGTGTAGCAAATCTGTGCAAAGTATCGATTGATTTTAAGTTTCAACTTACTTATTTGATTCAAATTGAATTAACTTTTGTTTCAATATTAATTAACAGATGATAACGCCATCAGATCTTGTGCATGGCGGTGATCCAACGACAACCGACAAGTTTTGTGCGACGGACATTAATGAGGCTATTGGGATCGGACATGGAATCGCGGCTGAGGCTTTTGCTACTGGCGTACTTGTTTTTTTCGCATGCAGTAGTTGGGACTCGCGAAACGCGAAGAATACCGACTCGTTGGGATTGAAATTTGGCCTCTGCGTTGCCATGCTGTGTCTTGCTTTCACCCCTCATACCGGCTGCAGCATGAATCCTGCTAGATCGTTCGGACCAGCAGTCTGGACTGGTTACTGGCACTACCACTGGTTATACTGGTTGGGACCGATTGGAGGCTCCATTATTGCGACTTTAATCTATCGATATTTATTTTTTAAAAATCAGGAAAATACGCAAGATGTGGAAACTTTGAATGACATCGAGACTTAAATGGAATAATGCGTAAGTTTTTAAACGCCAATAAAAATATAATTTTGTACAGATTACACAGGCCAACAAAATTTAGGGGGGGGAGGAGGTCTTGCGCTTTGAAAGATGTTTCCGTAGGATTTTGATGCGCTGAAAATGACTATGTTGTCCGTTTTTTCCATTATCCTCCATTTTTTTTAGATAATCGTAAAAATAGTTTTTTCGGGAAGTACCTTCTTTATTAATTTTTTCCAGCTAAACAAAAAATGATATTAAGGTCTGTTTTGCGGCATTTAACTTTGAAATGTTCCAGCAATACTAAAAATATTTTTTCAATGCTTATAAAAATGTTTTGTGCAAATCAGAAAACTTTGGAAAAATTGTAAAAAACCGGAAAAAATAGACAAATTTTGAAATATAAAACCAAATAATTCGAAAGAAAAAAATCGTAAAAAATATCTGATAATTTATACTTATAATTTATACTGTATGTTTCTAGTTTAAATCCTTTTTTGAAAAATTAATTTCCAACCATTTGTTTAGAAGTTATTGAATTTAATACACCTTGCGCGTTACCTACAGTGCGCGATATCCTCTCGAATCTGGCACATATTCACCGAATACAGAAGCATGTTGTATAGTTTTTTTTGTCAATATAAAGACTAGAATGTAAGCGGAAATAGAAGTCAGCGCGGTACTCGGCGCAAGTATAATAATAGAAATGTTTATGTCCATTTTTAATATAAAAGTATAAAGATAAATATAAAGTTGATATAAAATCCATACGCGTTTCGACTTCAAGTCATTCTCAACAGTATTAATATAATTCTAATTCAGCACAAGTAGCATCAACCATGATGTCAACCACCCAACATCACAAAGAGTTCCTTAGTTCATCCCAGTTTACAGACTAGAAGGAAACAAGAATTCTTATAAAGTGAAGCTATAATAAGAATGAGAATGTTACAGATATATGTGAAATTATTTTTAAAAGATACTGACAAGGAGAAAGCAGACTGACCGAATTGATGCAATTTGTACGTACATATACAGTAGTCAACTAGTAGAATATAATATTAATTTTGACAATTAGATGAAGTAACAAGAGTGATTCAAATAATTTTTTCGTCAAATGAAAAGAATAAAATGTAACAGTTGTTCACTCTTCGGTTACATGGAGACAAATAACATAAAATACATGTGTCGATACAAGCGCTGACCCGAAATGATCGAAAGTATAATTGTAAACATTAATTTTTAAGTATTAATTTTTAGTATTCAAAACTGACATATAGGCATATGGTCTAAAAATTCAGTATCTATTTGGAGATTTAAATTCTTTTTTTGTGTTTTTATGCAACATTCCAGACATTAATTTTTTGTTATAATTCCTTTTTATATCCAAAACTTGTACCCTGTTCCAATCGAATTCATGATCAAATTACAATCTGTGATTTATAATGACCGAATGAGAAGACGTCTTTTTTTTAATGTGATTTTGGTGTTCAAAAATGCATGTATATATAGTTGAGGACTAGTTTGTCCTACATAAGAAGCAATCTTTGCAGGCAATCTTATATATGACGTTTCTCTGTGCACTGGTTGATAAAGGATCTTTCTGCGCTTTGATTAGACTGCGAAGTTTATTGATACTATAAAATGCAATTTTGGATACCGTATTGTTAATAATTCTCTTAAGTTTATCTGAAATATTGTTAACAAAAGGGATCGTAAACCAAATAATTTTATTATTAGATGTCACATTCTTTTTGTTACCTTTGTTACTCATGTTACTATTTTTTATAAAATATTTTATTCTCTGAGACATAATATTAAAAATAAATTCAAGAGGATAGTCATTATTTAATAAAATGTTGATGACAAGTTCAAAATTTTTTGGGTTAGAAAGGAAGAACACTTTGTCAACCATGTCTATGATCACGCCTTTTTTCTGTGAAAGAAGATCTGGATAAAAAATATTGTGTACTGAGTACCGCGCTGACTCCTATTTCCTCTTACATTCTAGTCTTTATATTGTTAAATATCAAGGAATCTTCAATATTAATTGTTATTCTTATTATTGTTTAATCTTTTTTGGTCACTGATATCAAATCTAAAGTAAAAAATGTGCAATTTAAAATGATGGATCCAATATGGAGGATAAGAATTTTACAAAATCCGTACATGAATATCTGGTTTTGTAAGTCTCTGATTACTACTATAATCAGAGACTTACAAAACTCAGATATTTATGTACGGATTTTTTTAAATTCTTGTCCTCCATATTGGATCCGCCATTTTGAATTGCACATTTTTTATTTCAGATTTGAAATCAGTAACCAAAAAAGACTACACAACATGTTCCTGTATTCGATGGCTATGTATCAGACTCGAGATGATATCGCGCACTGTAGCTGACGCGCGGCTTGCTTTGGCGCTTTAAATTCAATAATTTCTAAACAAATGGAAATTAATATTTCGAAAAAGGATTTAAACTAGAAACATACAGCTATAAGTATAAATTATCAGATATTTTTTACGATTTTTTTCTTTTGAATTATTTGGTTTTATATTTCAAAATTTATTAATTTTTTTTGGGTTATTTACGATTTTCCCAAAGTTTTTTGTTTGTATAAAATATTTTTATAAGCATCAAAAAAATATTTTTAATATTGTTGGAACATTTCTGAATTAAATACCGTAACACAGACCTCGATATCATTTTTTGTTTAGCTGGAAAAAATTAATAAAAAAGTTACTTCCGGAAAAAATTGTTTTTTTGCGATTATTTAAAAAATGGAGGGTGATAGAAAAAAAATGGACAATGTAGTCGTTTTTAGCGCATCAAAATCCTGCAGAAACATCTTTCAAAGTTCAAAGCACAAAACCTCCTCTCCCCCCCTAAATTTTGTCGGCCTATATTATCAATTTATGAGCAACATTAAAATTAAAATTAACTCTTTAACACCTGTTAGGTATGGCACACCTGGCATATCTTTTTCTATTTCTAATGTTTTTTTCATTGTTTATAACTTTTAATAAAGGTATATTCATTTGATATAATTAGGATAAAGTTGCCGAAATCACACCGGCTTCTAAATCGCTATCTCGCTTAAAAATTCAATTATTGTTTATATACTTTCTTACGGGTTATTTAAAAACTACATGATATTTTAACTACTACATGCTACTACATTATACTCGTGACATGAAGCGCAATAGGAGTATTATTTACATAAATAAAAAAAATTTTGATAGCGTTGCTATTTTTCAATGTATTTCATAGCAGAATTACAGAAAATACAAGTTAAATAACCCTTAGGCTATTGATTGATAAGTCTTGATCATTTGTCGTGGTTTAGAACATTATTAAAATTAAATCAATTGGATTAAAGTTTGCTTTATATTTTTTTTTAAAATTAAATAAATAAAAGTTTTAAAAATACTTTGGTGTGTGTGTTTCCTAAATCGCACATTACCTAATATTTTTCCAAATTTTACATTTTTATTCCATTTATTATTATGTAGAAATGTACACAGAGAGAAAAATGTTTGGTATTTGTAACTATAATTATATATTACTATAATTATGATTATTATTGTTATAATAACAATAACTATGTACATAGTTCTAGCAACTAATGTATATAATTATATAATACTATAATTATGTATTACTATATAATTATATATTATTATTATTATATATTACTATAATTATATCAATTATTTTCAACTATTTTGTGATTATAATAACTATAATTATAGTCATTTTAGATTGCCAACTACATACATTTGTTGCTAAAATTATACACATAGTTTTATTTTTATTATAATAGTAATAATCATAATTATAATAATATAATTATAATTACAAATACCAAACATTTTTCTCTTAATGTATATTATAAACCTATAAAGTTTATTTTGTTTCACATAGAAGTTTTTAAATTACGTCGTAAAATTATCATGTATTTCAGAAATTATGAAAAATATATTCTTATGTTTTTAACAGCACAATAAAATACAATTTTTTCCTCTTTTTATGTAATTTTTGAATTTTTTGCATCATTAGGAAAGGCCCCTATTATGAGATACCGAGTCCATTTTGAGTAAATGCTAGAAGTCTATAGAATTTAAAATAATAGATCATTTTGAAGGGAATTTAATAAGCTTTTAGATAATATTATATAAAATTAATTTAATTCAAATTTTATTTTTTTTTAAATCAAAGAAATGTAAAAAATGAGCAAATTGCAAAGTCAAAAAATTGTACTCCTAATAGATGCCCCGAGAAATCGATAGTAAAACGCAAAGTATTGCAATTAAAAAACTTTATTTAATGTTTCTAAAATACAAACAAACACAACCATTATTAAATATTTATTTATCAAATAATGTACGGCAATGAGAATTACACAGCGGGAATTGGTGCGCAATTTATATAACAGTCTTAAGAAATTCACATAATATATTAAAAACAATGCTTTCCAATATAGACTTCTTAGGACGTTTTGGTTTATTTCAAACCATCTTCAGTCAATTCGTATAACATTATAATAAATGTGTAGACAGGAAAACGTTGAATAAAGTTGGAATTATGCTCTATGTGAGACCGAGGATGAGTACCTCCCTACTGTTTAGTTGGGAGTAACCCAATTTCTGTCTCTTTGCTGTTTAGCCAAGTGACTAATCTCCTTCTCCATAGATTAACTCAGTTATTCAAAAGCACAAGTCAATTATAAAAGGTACGATTACAAGATGCACATTTTCGTTATCAAAAAAAGTATAACATGAAACAATATAAAATATATAATCGTCAGATGTGTTATCCAGAAATATTATATAAGTTGAGGATTAGTCACTTGGGTAAACATCTCAATGAAACTTGAAGATATCCAAATTCTAAAATCTTGTTTTACAATGACCATAGGCATGGTCTAATAATGAATTTTCTACTAAATAGTTTTCAATCCAATAGTAATAAATTCATGGTGGAACCGATAGCATTTATTAGTTTAACAGAAAGGCCGCTATCTCATATTAGGCGCCTATCTCGTAATAGGGGGCTTTTCTCTATAATGTTTTAAATGAGGAATATTGGTATAGTGGGATTTGTTAGGCAACAAATTTTTTTGCTGCCAAAATCGCACCATATTGAAAAAAATCCTTATTTTAAATGTTATAATGATGCAAAATATTATGAAAAAATTACATAAAAAAGGAGAAAGAATGCAATTTATTGTGTTGTAAAAAACTTAAGAATTCTTTATAATTTAAGAGAGACTTTAAGTGAAAAGTAGTGCAATTTCGGCAACCTTACTCTATGTTCCTTAAATATCTGACATTTCGATTGAAAAAAAAATTGTTTATTAGATGTTTATTTTTTCTAGAAATTGTAAGAAATCGAATTAGGTTGCCATATTTCGCGGAAGAAAAAGATTAATTGCAGCAGCAAAAATTTGCGTGTGGTAGTTAAATTCCAGTCGTAACATATGGATATCTAACGTCGTATCTGCGAGGTCTAATTTCCATTAGCTGTGAGGTCTAAATATTATCATTGTAAGGAACAAACATTTTGCTATTATATCGATCTATTGATCATTGCAGCAAAAGTTTTTTGTGTAGCAGACAATTTGGTAGCAGTTAATTTTAACATTAACTTCTTAAACGTTTTATTTTAAATTTTATCTTAAACTTATTGTCATCACGTTGATATATTATCGTCATGTATATATATTAATATTTTTTTAAAGCTACGTTAAATAATTTTTTTTTGACAGCCAATAATATATCATAGCTAATAAAAAAATTATTTAATAAATAAAAAACTGTTTTGCTCATATGGGTAATTCTTTTCTGTCGAAAATTTCATCGGAGCTCTGCGAGTGTCATGCGAGCTTGGCACGTTTTCAAATAATTCTTTTACGCTTGTCCTACTTTCGTTCATTCAGTCCTCCAAATATCTCCTGGATATTTGGACGACATCATTACGTCATTTTTACCGTAATGATCTACGAACCGAGTTTGTATCGTGCGTGCTTTCTTCCAGTGAGCGAAATTGCATTCTGGTAGTCGGTGGTTCACAAATTGAACAAGAAATCCTGATCGCGCTGGTATTCTCTCTGGGTGAGAAAGAGGACGTTGCAAAAGTTGCGGTGAAAGCTCTCGTGCGATGGAAACAGACGGACTTGGAACTTTACGGATTTCTACTTCCAAGATGTTCGGAAACGTCCCATTCGAAATCTTATAACCTGAAGGATCGCAATGTATCGAAGGATGCCACGCGACAAGGACTTTTGCGTCGTAGACTGATGTGACAGATTATTTTTGTACAAATACGATATCTTATTAGATAAGGCGCCGTGTACCTACTATTTGTTAACTTTAAATGCAACTGAGAAAAAAATATCGAAGTATTGCGAAGCAAATGACTTATTGACGTTTTCTTCGATACTTATTATAAAAAAAATGTGTAATGACGAAATATATATTTCTGTAAAATATATCCTTATTAATTGTAAAAAGTAAAGTAGATGTTTTATTTGCTAGAAATATAATTTTATTCGTCGTATTTAAATAAAGATTTATTTCAGTGAAATATATTTCTCACAAATAAATTTTTAATTATCTTTTTCTCAGTGCAGTAGATGCAAAAATTCTTGATAGGTGTGTGTTCGTTATATTATATTTTATATTTACTGTAAGAAGGAAAAGTAATGGCCAATTAATAAGCAGACAAAAAATCTTAACATATTAAAAATAATTATTTATTCTCAAATATATGTTAAGAATAATCATAAATATATATGTTTTGCCTTCTATATTAAGCCTTCTTAGCGCATTATTTTTCTCTCTTAATAAGTTTTGCATTTAATAAGATTCTTCAATGTTTTATTTCTATTTATTTTGTTCGCGTTACGACACAAAATACGACGTAAAAATGCATTTTTAATATAAAAAAATATAAATTATTGTAAATGATAAATTATTCTTATTTCAAAATAAAACAATTATTTTAGAGCAAGAGTACATTATACCGATATTGTTACAATGGCAATTCAAAAGATAAGTAATAAAACACATTTTTGACAATTGTATTCCGAAAATCAAAATGATAAATAATTAGTGTTATACGCATTTCAAATATTTATAGTATTATGTATTTAAAAAAATATATAAATAAAATATATTTAAAATATTATTCAGCCGTGATGCATATTATACATTTATATTTTTCCTGTATAGTCTATGTAATCTTTTAATCCAGCACTTTCCAAGATGATCACTCTATGTCGTGTAACATGAAGCGAAGCATCGGAATAATACATATATGTATAGTTTCGTCTTGTCTAGCAGTATATAGTTTCAAGTATTAACTCTCTCCTGTTCTCTTATTTCTCTTCATTTTTCACGATTTTGAAGCGCACGCGTAGAAGAAACTCCTCTCACGCGTATCTCGCGGCGGTGCCGCAGTCAGCTGATCTCTCGCCGCGCTTTTTATTAATTATTAACAAATTTATGGATTACAGACTCGGTTCGCTCGCTCGCAATTCCACTAAATTCGCCGCCATTATATCGTACACGTACGGGATGCAGCTCGTTAAGACCGACGTTGAGGTGGCTGTTCTCGCGCAGCAACGCAACACGGCCGTTCTCTCTTCCTGTCTCTCTCTTTCTCTCTTATCCTTGCTGCGACGAAATTCGAAATAACGGAATTAGTCTCGGTGAATTCAGGAAATTACCTCCATCGCCGTCGGTCGCGCCAAAGTTTTAATTGTACTCGGTACATATCTATGCACGCGTGTGAGTGCGAGCGTGAGTGGCCGTATATGCGTGTGTGCACGCGATTGCAATTACGTTCCGTGGCTTAATGTATATGTAAATATAAAATACACACATTTCGAACTATCTCATCCGCTTCCTCTCCTATATCCTCTCTTGTATAGATAACAATAACTTTAAGTCAGTGCGAAATAGCATAGTAGATTCTGGTAGCGATCATGTAACTTTTTCCCTAGAGTGAAAACGTAAAAAGTGAAAATTGTTTGCATATACATATATGTACATACATACATACATAACAATTTTTATTTTTCACGTGTCCGATCTAAAGAAAAAGTTAATTATGAATGCTACCTTGGTTCGGAATTCGCGAGCTTCGTTTGTGCGCAAAGCGTCGTAGAGGATACGATTGAATTTCGGATTAAACGACTATTGCATGTATGTGTTATGAATTGTAACGGATATGGCTTTTCGAATAAATTATATACGATGTTTTAACGAGTTTTTCTCTTCGAGACGCATCTTTGCTCTCAGAACAAATTTATACTGTAAAAATTTATACTATAGAAAAGAGAAGTAATTTCTAAAAAAATTATTTTTCCTTTTTAAAAACTAGCTTCGAGATTGCAGATGCTAAGCATCTGTAATGTAAGCAGCTTGCAATCAGTAATAAATATTCCGTGAATATGCAATTTATTGTAGGATTACGATTTTACTACTAGTATTACCAACTAAGCTAATATGTATCTTACATTTATGCTGTACAGTATTCCATATATCGTCACGTCAAGAGCTACGAAAAATTTATTATTCACATTTTATTAACAACAGTTTTAAACGTAGAGACAAAAATTGTTAGCATATCACACAAACTGACGAGTCAAAAATGTGTTATATGTGTTATATGTGTTTATATAAAAAACCTATATGACAATCGTATATATTTGAAAAGCCAGAGTTTGAAGTTTGAAGGTGTGCGTTATGGTGGAGGAATGTAAGAATAACATTGCGATCGAGAAGGAGCAAAACACATTGCTACGAGATTAAAAACAATCCATTCCAAAATTAGTAACGGACTTTAAAACTGATATTTGCAAAGAATGAATATTTTATGCATAGGAAAGATAATATCAATAAAAATAATTTAATAAATAAATAAAAAATAGTTTAACAATTAAAACAAAAATAAAGAATCTAATAAATAAAGAAAGTGTTATGCAACGAAGTAAATACGATAGAACTCAAAGATGTAATAATATTCTATAACTTCTTTGATCGTTCGTCTGTTTGTCTATCCTATGAATTCGTCGGTCTTTCCCATCAGAATTGTAAACCGCGATAAAGATTAAAAGCTAAACGACGTAGAAAATTACTTCCTAGCATTGTTTGTGGTATAAAAATGTTCAGTCGCGGTTAGTAGACTCATCGCAAAATTTGCTCAAGATACATATATATAAGTCTAGTAAAAAAAAATTTTAATTCAAGTATTTGTACCTTTTTTTTATCATAATGCTAATTGAAATTTTCGTTGTACTTATTATATATCAAAACTGTCATTGCATATTAATGATTTTAATGTTAAGGGCAATATAATTAGCAGTATAATTAATATCATATAATTTTATTCATTATTTGTCTTAAAAAAAATTCAATGCAAATTAATGATGGCATATCCATTCCAAATACTGTATAACCCAATAAAAAATTTAAATCCATTATATTACGAGAAATTTATATCTGTATTTTTTAAATAAAGAATATAATAAATATAAAAATATATAAATTTTTAATCCATTTATTCTTAGTATTAATAAAATCTATCATGTATCACACACACACACACACACACACACACACACACACACACACAAACGAATCATCCGCGTGTAGTGGTTTATGTTATATTCTAGTATTAATAAAAATTTTAGTTGATGCATGATATAAATATCAATATTTTTCTCCGCGAGAGATCGCTTTTCTGAAATTAACATTCCCGCCTGATATGTGCGAACGAATAACGAATAGCGGCAGAAGTAGGGAGTTTGTACACTTCATTACATCGTGAGAAGAGAGGCCATGCGTGTTCTCCGCGATAGAACAGAGTTACGATCATTCCTAGTCCACAAGAGGGCCGGCTGACGAAGTGCACGGGTGTCTCTGTCTTACTCTCCGTCGCCAGAGACTATTGGAATTCCGTCTTCCGTCTTTGTGTTTATAGTGTAGTGATTCTCGGGTCAAAGACGCTCCGCCATGCCGCCAAACGATTTTCGCGCAGGTAAGACATTTTCATTAAAACTGTTTTTGTTTCTTGGAAATTTTCAAAGGTAAGAGTCTCATTAAAAATCTTTTTGCTTCGCGATGATAATTAGGAGATAATTAATTTTGTTATTTATTGTAATAGAAAACAAATTCGACAAGCGATTAAATATTACACAAATAATGCAAAATTGAGTATAATAAAATGGAAATTGTAAGTGAAGCTATTAACATGTTTTATACGATATAATTATTTCAAAGTATATCCAGATTTATATGTAGACAATGTGCAAAAAAATTTGGTTCTGATACACTCTAAATTTCTTGGAGTGAAATCTCACTCCAAGAAAGTTAAAATGCTGCCATTATTGAAAAAGAATGATAAATTTCCACTTTTGAATAAGAATGGCAGATTTCCGTAAAATTTAATTATTTTAACTTTCCATGATTAAATATGTTACAAAAAGAAATATTAGATTAATATAGAATTGTTATTTTTTTTAGTCTTTTTGTTAATATTTCTTGGATCTGATATAAATATTTCAAAAGCTTCTACATCCGTAAATTTAGTGATAATTTAAATAATTACACGTGTACATTGAATACGAACAATTATATCATTAACCTAATTGATATCCACGTATCGTATACACGACATGTTAGGTACAATTCGTTGTAATACGATTCATGGTAATATAATAATAAATGATAATAGTATACTACAGAACAAGGGCTCATTACGACAATTCTCTCCTTCATGTAATTAACAATGATATTAACAATGAAGCACGATAGGTGATTCGACTTAAATAAACCGAAAAGTCTTGTATAAACATAGAAGCAAAATTTAATTTAAATAGCATTTAAATTAAACTATGCATTAGATTATAATAATATTGAGAAACTCGTTTTAAGTTCGTCATTTCTTTCGCTTTTACGTAACGTTAAATTCTAATTTTATCTATTAATGTACTAAATATTACAATCTCGTTTAACGAGAAAAATTTATAAAGATTTTTTGTGAAGGATATTGCATTAATTTTGAAACTCCTGTCTACGAAAATTTTTTCTTAAAATCGCAATACATAACTTTAAAGACTTCTATTTCATCTATTCGCGAGAACTGAAATACTATTTTTATCAACGAACTGTTTAGCTTGTATGAATAGATTGTTCACGTATATACATTTTTTCTGATTAATCTCAAGATATAATATAATTTCTTATATTTCGCCTGCACGTGTAACTGATTTATAATAAAAATAAAATAAATAAGATGTTTATTTAATCCATACGATAAGAAATCGTCGATATGGGCGATAAGAATTTTTGTACGATTGAAACTAACTGATGACTACCTAGATACTAATATAATTGACGAGATACTT